GTGTGAAAAAATAAAAGCAAATCAGGGTAGATGAAGGCTTAATCCCGGTATCTCTTAGAGCTTCAGTAATTTTTCTCTCCTTATTATTTTATTTTCTAGTTTTACAGTTGAGGTTGGGGAGGGGCAGGCCCCGTCTTTCTGCCTTTCTGCTCAAGTTAGATTTGTTTCTCTAAGAATTCAAGAACATTTATTTGCTTAAAGGCTTGCCAGTGAAAAGGCCCCAGGTCTAATCCCCTTTCTGCTACACACCAGTGCAACTTAGGGAACCCTTCGCCTATTGACTTCTTCATGTGGAAACCGATCCACTGAAAGCAAAAAGGAACCGTTTCTTGTAGGGGGGGAGAAAACCTCTAAAATTCCATTCTGAAGAAGTCCTCATCCTTGGCCCGTGCAGTAGCAATAGAAGCAAAGGCTTTTTGATCCTCACATTTGTAAACTTGTAGACATAATAATGCCATTTCTCCAGTGTTAGCAGGTGTCCTGTCTGGAAGCTGCTGCCTCAGCCTCCAGCAGAGCTGGGAATTAGAAAATTGTCTGTCTTTCCTGAACCGTGAAGCGCTGCTCTTAAATAAAGGCCAGGTCAGATGTTAAAGGGACATTCTTGTCTTCTGAAGCCGAAATAATCTACAGTCGCATCGAGAAATGAAGGCATCCTCCTCCAAAAATGGTCAACCTCTTTCTCTGCCTTTATATTCCATAGGGTCACGGCAAGCTCCGTGCGTGCAGATGGATTGCGTGTCTCCCCAGCCCATAGCAAAGCAAGTGTATGGCTGTGCTTTGGGGCAGTACAGTGACTGGGGCAGGCTGTGCTCTTCTTTGTGCCCTCTGCTGTCCTTCCTCTGTCTCTGATAGAACAATGAATACAGATCACACTCCAAATATACATTTTCTATTTTCCCTGTGCTCATTAATAGATCTTAGACAATATGCTCTCTGTGTTCTGTTAAGCAAACTGAATGTGTTTTAAGATGGCCAGACTGTGGACACAGCTGAGGTTTTACAACAGGTGTGGAATGCCAGGCAAAGAAGCCTGGTTGCAAACATTCAGTCTTTGCACCAAACATAGATGTGCTCCCAGAAGAAGGAACATGTGATGCTGAGTGTGCAGGACAGAGAGATGGGCTTGGCCTAAAGATGGGCATTAAGAATGGAGAACCATTGTGTTTCCTCAAACCAAGCAAATCCTCTAGGGGAGAGCTGAACCTCAGAGCTGTCACCTGGAACTTTGGGATCCGGTGGTGGGGGCCAGAATCTGGCATTTTAGTACAGTATGTGCAGGATGGGGGGAGACTGTCCCAGTCCCTTACCTGGATGGAGGTGGGGGAAAAATGATGGGGCAAGGTGAGAAACCTCATCAGAGCTCCCTTTGTGATTTCCTAGCCTGCAAAACCATTGTTGGGTTTCTTTTCTAGGTGACACCAAGAATTGCTCCAACATGGTGGAGCATGGCTGTGGTGTTTGGTGCTGCAGGAGGATGGGGTGGGACAGCAAGGCCACAGCCAGGAAGGGAAGTGGGGATGGTGAGGGCGAGGGAAACCCTTGGCTCTGCCCCCTTGTGTCTGCGCATGATGATAAAATCTTTTAATTAAATGATTGCACCGAGTGCACAGGGTGAACGGCACTCGCCTAATGAGCAGTTGCTCAGTTTTGCTTTTTCTCTCTGTTCAATGGATGGTGCTGGGTCCTATTAACTGTGCACTGTTCAAACCCTGCCCAACAGCGTCGTGGGTTTCCCCATGGGGTTGGTGTGGTACAGCTCCTGGTGGTGTCGTGGTACCTTCCAAGCATGAATGGATTGATACATAAATGCTGACTGCTATTATTTCTGTTTGAAGATGGGGGGGGGGGGGGTGGGGGTGGGGGGGTGGCAATGGAGGGTGTTTATGGGGGGGATTATTACATAATCTGTAATTCCTCCCCATTGCACTCCCTTTGCCAGGATCTACCCAGCAAGTCCAGTTCTCTGTGAGTGAACTGGGTGTTCAATTTTATTTTCATACCAAAACATAGGAAACCTCTCTTAACATCAGACTGCTTTCCTCATCCTGTTACCTACACCTCCCGCTCATTAGGGACAAATATTTGCTCAAGAAGTGGCAAGCTGCTTTTTTGTTTCTTCCAAGTGATAATAGAACAAGTTTTGGCCAAAAAGAAAAGTTGTGGCCAGGCTGGAGAATGATTCCTAGCGCCAACCATATGCTGCATTCATCATGCTGAAGTGCCTTAATTACTGGTGGATGTCGCCGTGCTTGTAAAGATAGCGCAAAGCTTTTGGCCAAAGTTGTTTGCTGATAACCGCCCCCCCCGGGGGGGGGGCGCCCAAAAATCCTGAAAACCTTTCTGCTGCTGAGTTTTCCTTTGGGCATCCCACACGGGTGTGCATCAAGAGATGCTTGTGGGATGCACAGAATCTTGCAGAGTTAGAGCTCTGTCTTGGGGAAACTCCATTGCAACGCTGGCCTCAGCCTGGGGTTGGTGTCCTGCTTTCAGCTGGGACAGAGCTGACTTTCACCGTAGTGTCTGCCATAATGCAGCTGTAAGGAGTGGGGAGCGAGCTCCTATAGATGCCAAGTACTGTGCATCGTTTCCAAAAGCCGTTCCTATCCTGAAATCCAAAATGGGATTTGGGATTCCTGCTAAGGGGTGAGTGGGGCAGCAGTAACAAGCAGCAGTCTCCCTCCCCTCCTTTATCATTCTGATGATAAAGGACACTTTAAAGGCTCTCTGACAATGAATGAGTCCCGGTTAAATATTTCGGGAACTTCTTTACATGGTTTCCTCTGATGCGTGCACTGCTGAGACATCTGTCTTCGGTACTAATAAAGTAGTCTAGATTTAAAATGAACTTCATTGGATCTCTTTGAAACTATAGGCACATATGGTTCATAATTAGCTGGATATCTCTTATAGTTAAATGATTTTTTCCCTTCTCTTTCTCTCTCTCTCTGTCGCCCATTCGCATCAATAATAGAAGCAAACAAAGTTCCAATTGTTCCCTGTTGCGGGACATTATGTGCCTGAATAAATGGATGTTGGCTGTGTCTACATGGATTTGCCATATGGCTACAAAGGCTCGAAGAATAGGGGCAGTGTGCTTTGTGCCGAAGGCGGGCTGGGTGGAGCGGGCTGCAGGGCGGCCGCACACCTTCCCCGTGCCCGGCAGCTGGAGCCCCCGCCATGCTCCGAGCCCACCTCCACAGCCCAGGGATTTGGGAGCCGGGCACGGGGATTTCTTGGTGCGGAAAGTCCTATTATGAGCGGGGGGCTGGGACAATGGACGTCCCAAAGGCACCTGCTTGCATGAAAGCCAGAGAAAAGCCCATAAATCCTGGAGGATCCAGCTGCCTCACTCCGGGCATTGTTGGCTTTCAGAAGGAAAGGGAAAAAGCTATTTTTCTTTTTCAAAGGGGG